TATTTCTTTTTATTTATTTATTCATTTTTTATTAAATATTTTTATTTTTGACTTTACTTTTAGGGGCTTTGGGGAAATATTAGGGGTCTAAACCCCTGATATTTCCCTTTTAAAATAGAAAAAGAGATTGAGGACACAGAGTCTCTTTTTTTGCAGCCCCTGTTATCAATGAACAGGAATCCTCTATACTGAGTGTTTCTGTTCATTCATAACGTGAGGACATTGTGTGTTTACTATAACTACAACTATGAATGAACAGCAGGTGATGAACACTCCCATTCATTCATCATTGAGGATATAGTAAACACACCATGTCCTCAATTATGAATCACTGATCGCTGAGTGTTTGCATTGGCTCTCCTTCCTGACAGCTGTCACAGGAGGCTGAGCGAGCGGTGCAGGGAGAAGAGCTCAGCCTCCTGTGACAGCGCGGGCTGTCTCCGCCCCCACACCGCTATGCCGATCTGTGATAGGAGGCTGAGCGGTGTGTGGGAGGAGAGACGCTGGCTGCTCACAGCGCTCTCCTTCCACAGCGCTCGGCCGGCTGTCACAGTTTCTCTCCTCCCCGCTGGGACACAGAGCAGCGCCCAGCGGGGAGGAAAGAAATCAGGGATGCGCCAATGTATCGGCCAGAAAATGGCACTTTCGGCATTTAGCCAAATGTGCCATTTTGGGCCAATATGTTTCGGCGGCCGATATATTGGTGCATCCCTACAAATTAGTAAACTAAACATAAGATTGTAGTCCATCACAGGAGCAATCTTGGAGCGGAGCGGTGATTACTTTACAACACACACAGGGACCATGGGGAAGAAAAGTAGCCACCCTCCAGAAGGAAGGACAGTGTCAGCACCAATTCAGAGATGATATGAGGATCTACAGCCACTTTAAAAAGTAAATTTCCTAAAATAAAATACTCATGTCCACCCTTTCATTCTTTGTTAAATCCTAGTGTTGCTGATCTCCTCTACCCCCTTTGCAACAACTTCCTATGCACACCAGCATTTGCCGCATGGTATTTTATCAGGGCGGGTTTCCTCAAGGTGAAAACACTGTAATATGCCTGTGTAATGTGTGTTAATTGTAATCTCCATCGGAACCCCATGTGACAGGGCGACAACGTGGGAGCACAATTGGGACAGAACATTGCCACCCTATATTAGGAAGTATAATAAAGTAGTATTAAACTTTAAACTTTGTTTTCAATAATGAATCCAAATCAAACAAATATACATTGCCCAGCAAAGGATTCCTTTATATTTTCACCCAAGCACTGACAGTCATCATGTTGCTGCTTGGCAACTGTCTATTAAAGCGTCCCGTATCCACTCCTATACGGCATGTTTCAGAAGTGTTGCTGAATAGTATTCCAGGTGCTGGGGGGAGAGAAATCCCAGAGAGCTCCAGGGGCTACTTCCTGTGTGCACAACACCAGCTTTGGCAGCCCTGGAGTGCCTCTCGCCCAGGGGTGGGCAAACTGTGGTGGAAAAACTGCAAATCCCATCATGCATCTGTCTCTGGGAGTCATGCCTGTGGCTTTGAGAATCTTGCAATGCCTCATGGGATTTGTAGTTCCACAACAGCTGGGGGATCAGAGTTCACCCACCCCTGTTCTAGCCACTTCCAGTGCCAGCCACATTTGCCAGCCTGTACCAGTGCCAGCCAGAATTGTACCAGCAATTACCAGAGCCAGCTATTACATGGGCCAGTCAGTATGTGTGCCAACTATTACCAGTGTAAGCTTGTACCAGTTTCAGCCAGCTCGCACCAGTTCCAGTCAGCTTGTACCAGTGCCAGCCCTTTAAAAATAACAAGAAGCCCTACTTACAGTCTTTTAGCCCTCATTCAAAAATTCCCATTCATTTCTATAGCCATGTTCACATCTGACCGTCATGTCGCTTGCAGCAAAATGCCCGACGCTTGAAGAAAGTACATGAGCTTCTTTTTGGCAGATTCTGCACTTCTTGGCCCGCGTAAAAAACGTGCTACACAAAATGCACATATTTCATGTTGCTCAGGTGTAAATGCAGGCTTACTTCTGCGACTAGGTCCCCAGCTCAGAAGCGCTTCTTACTAGTCAGCGCAGTCATGTGACCACGATGGCCAATGAGTGCTCACCATTTGCAAGCATTATGCTAAATGCTCACTGCAGGATTGAAGTGCATTGTACTGGCTAGTAGAGGGAAGGGGATGGGTTATCGGTAAATTAATTTTCTCACATTTCCCCCTTTAAACAAAGCGTTCTGCATTTGAACACAGTATTGCTCAAACACATGTGAATGTTGCATTTGAACTACTTTGCAACTGTTTGTGTTCCCTTTGAGGACCCATTCACACCACATGAGTGCTGGTGTGTGTGTGTGCCCTGTGCACAGTGCTAAAGCGTTTGATTGTGGCGCATCACGCTTATTCCTTTTTTTGTTAGAACTTTTTTCGAAATGTCCCAAGTGACATTTCACTATGTTCTATGGGCACAGCACGAGGCGATGTGGTTGTACCGCATCGCACTGTGCTGAAAAAAATACTGCATGCCGTACATGTTTTCAGTGTACCAAGGGCGTAACTAGAAGTCACAGGGACCTATAGCAACATTTTGTATGGGGCCCCGTGATTGCTAGTTATGCCACTTGCAGAGCCCACCTGAGATCCCACACAGCCAACCTGAGAGTGACCCTGCAGAGCCCACCATAGACTCTCTATGGAGCTCTGCAGGATCTCAGCTGGGCTGGTCACACCGCTGCACACCTCTTACCTGTCAGCCCCGATCTGCTGTCAGCCTTCTCCTCGGCTGCTGGCGGGGCCCACCTCCTCCACCTGCTCCTGCCTGCGCCGAGTCCCGTCTGCTCCTCCCTGACGCCGGGCCCCACCTCCTCCAACGCAGCTGCTGGCTGTTACTGACTC